TCACATTGTCACAGTCTCCCATCCTAAGTGAGCACAGGCGCAACAGTGGAAAGGAAAAACTCCCTCATGAGGAAGAATTAAACCTTTAGCAGAACCAGGCTCAGAACAAGCGTCCATCTGCTTCGACCGGCTGAGTTTGAGAGGAACAGGAAGGAGGAACAGATACACAATGGCAGGTCCAGGATGGAGGCCATCAGGTTTTCTCTAGGAGGAAAGACAAAAAGACAGAATCACGTTAGGAAAGAATCATTGCAAATACAAACTGTTCATGTATTTGTAACTATTCATTTGATGAAATGAGGTAAATTTGTCCTCTAGTTATCTAAGGTTATAGCAGCATAGGATTTATTTATTTATTCATTAAATAAAAATAAAAAAATCATCAAAATAAAATACAAATGGAATGAAAAGCGTGCAGAAAGAAGAAGAAAATTCTTATAATATCTGCCCCTTATTTAAATAAATACAAAATAACTACAAACAAACAACAACTCAAGCTTGAACAAGCTCCAAAGTGAAAACAAAGAAACATCAGGCATTTTTCACATGGCGCCATGCTTTCCTAACAATTTTAAATTAATCATCTTTTTAAACATAAATTGTTTTAGAAATTTTTATGGTGATATCAAAGCAGTTCCACAATCCTATTCCCTGAATGACAACGCAGCTCCTTCAGACTAGTTCTAAATGGAGGTTTTACAAACATTTCCGTTCCTTTAAGTTTATAATGACTCTATTTTATAACAAATTTTAATTTAATATTTTGGGGTAATATTTTTAATGAGCTTTATACATGACGTAAAATATTATATTCAACCAAATCATAAAATTGTAATAATTTCAATTGATGAAATATTATATTTGTTGGGTGACCATAGCACTTCCTACTAATAATTCTTATAGCTTTTTTTTGTAAAATGAAAATAGGATTTGTAGTCGTTTTGCATGCTTTTCCCCAAACTTCAATACAATAGATTAAATATAGAACAATCATTACATTATACAATATATACAAACTTTGTCATTCAAAAACTATTTTACTTTATTCAGTAATGTAATTGATTTTGCGATTTTTATTCTTAAGTAATTTACATGAGATTTTCATGTCAGCTTCTCATCAATAACCACACCCAAAAAATGTTTTTCATTAACTCTATGAATTTCAATACTGTCAATTTTAAATGGGACTTCGATAATTTTCTTTCTATTATTAAATATTATGTAGTTGTTTTTTTTTTTTTTTTTTACAAATTTAATGACAACTTAAGTTGGAACCAAGTTTGTATTTTTACAGATTCTGTCTGTATCATCTCTAACATCCGTTCAATATCTTCACCCGAACAAAAAAATGTGGTATCTGCAAATAAAACACACTTCAAAAGCCCCGACACTTCAACCAGGTCATTCACATACAAAACAAACAACTTTGGTCCCAACACAGAGCCCTGAGGAACTCCACATCCATTAACACAAAATTAGGATAAGGAATAGGTCAGAAAATCAAGCTGACTAACTATCGGATTTATCAAAAAAGAAAATCTTAAGCCCAGTCTTAAAACTGGACAATGTGTCAGTCTCACGGAAAGAAACTGGAAGTTGGTTCCACCAGAGAGGAGCCTGATAACTGAAAGATCTTTTTCCCATTCTGCTTTTGGAAACTCTAGGAACCACGTGTAAGCCTGCAGTCTGAGAGCCAAGTGCTCTGTTAGGAAAATACGGTACAATAAGATCTTTAATATAGGCTGGAGCTAGGATGTTGAGGGCTTTGTATGTTAGAAGTACGATTTTGACAGAACTTCTGCATACTTTGTTCAGTTTTAACCATTTATACTGAATGACACAATGGTGAGCTCAATTTGAAAAAGTGTCCTATGACTTTTTTTTTTAACTAACTTTATTTATAAGCATTTTCTGCAAAGAAATTGTTGAGATTTCTTAAATTATTTCTGAACCATTGTTTTTTTATTTAAACTTTGGCATGTTTGCTCGATTTTTGTCTTCTACTCATTCAGATTTTCATCTCACATTTTGCTCATTTTAGCTGCTTTTTTTTTTTTCCAAATTACCTTTTAGCTGCATTTTTGCTTCATTAAGGATATAGCTCTGATTTAGGCCATTTCAGCTTTAAAGCAACTGTTTCGTAAATTTCAGCTTTCACGGTTTTGCCATGTTTAGCTTTTTGTTACAACTTGGCCTATTTTAGCTTTTAGCTACAATTTTGCTAGATTTAGATTTAGGTCGAAGATGGGGGAGGGTCTTTGGTTTGTTTTTGCTGTAAGAGCAGCGTGACGATACCCAGGATTTTTTTTTCAGGAGGACCTCGGTGTTTGTCTCACAGCATGCGGATGTTTAAAGGATGTTTGACCTTGTCCTACTTTAAAGGGCGTTTGACCTTGTCCTACTATAGCTGTTCTGCTTTTTGCTCACAGATATTTTCTGAGCACAGAGGAAGCTGCAGAGCAGAGACATCTCTACAGGTCAGTCTGATGAAACATGCGTTAGCGGAAGAGTTTTTGTCCTCGCGTAACGTTTTTAATGTCTGTACAGCGTGTCAACTGTCGGCTTGTTTCCACGGCGATGCCTCACCTGTGGACTGAAGGAGGGGTGCACGTTCTTCGAAGCAGACATCAGTCCTGATGCTCAGCATGCCATCCTGCACTGCCGAGGTCAGAGGGAGTTGCTGCTTCCTGCAAATTTTTCAAAATAAAAGCAAAAAAAAAACTTTGCTCAATATACAAAAATAAAACAAAGTGTTTTTTGTAAAACAATCCCTAGCAGTAAATATATTTATACAAAAAAAAATAAAAATCCTTTACCTTGAAACTCTTTGCACTTCTTGAAGGAACGCATATCACCCGCCACCTTTTATGTCAGAGTTTTAGACTAAGATCATCTTACGTTAAGAACTTACAGAGTTGTTGCCGATTTGGTCAAATCTTGAAAATAGAATTATGCACAACCTCACGGGACATTGCAGATATTCCATCTGTTAACTCTCGAGAATGACTCTCAGCTACTACCACACTGTACATTACGAGTTAGAGCCATTTTTCAGTTTGCTAATACGGATTAGCTGTGGTAGCCTTCTTTAATTGAACTAAAAGTTAATTATTTGTAGACGTACCATCAAGTGAACCTTGATGAATCTTGATGTCCTGAACCACTTTGGCTGCGCCTGCCTGGGAGGAGTCGACGGGGGAGAGGACGGCCCCCAAAAAACATCTTATCAACAGCAAACTTGTTGGTCAACTATCAGAGTGTACTGCTTGTGGGGACTCAGTTTGTTTGTGTCTCCTCAGACTGAAGAAGTCCTTTGGATAAAAGGACGATACGTCTCTCAACAAAAAATGAAACTGTCCAGATGACGTGACTGATCATAGCTGTTTTGTTTGTTTTTAACCTGGATTACTGAGCATGAACCTTGATCAAGTGATTACTTCCTGAGAGTGGCATTAAAATCCACCCACTGGTTTATGAGATATTTTGTTGACAAACTAACAGACACAGCAACAACCTCATCATCCGCCTTTGCCTTTTGGCGGCAGGTGATAAATCAGGTGGAATTTTTAAGATTACTGAGATATGACAGAGTAAAAACAGGTTACTGCCAAGAAGCAGATGGAAAAGTTTTTGTTTTTTTAAAACAATTTTAAATAAAATAAGACAGTTATTTCACTCTGTGGGAACAAATATCCGCAGGAGGTGGAGTTTCATAAGAACAAATATTTCTACACACGTAAAACCTAAAATGGGAAAATTGTTATTTGCCTCCCCGATGGTGGCAACTGTAACATATCTAGATATTTCGAACTGCAACGAGGTATGAGACAGGGGTGCCTGCTTTCACCACTTCTATTGGCGTTAGCGATAGAACCGCTAGCTATAGCTTTATGGCAAAACTCATTCATTAAGGGGATGAATTGATTAGGTACAAAGTTTCTTTATATGCAGATGACATGCTTTTGTATGTATCAGACCCTCTTACAAGCATTCTTGAATTACATACTTTGCTTCAAAAATTTGGGAAAATATCTAGCTATACGGTTAATTTTCAAGAAAATCTTGGACACTGTACTTTTTTAAATGAATTTAAAAAAAATTAAATACCTTAGCATTTGGGTAACTCGAGATCATAAGAACCTCTAAAAAACTATTTATCTACTTCCCATGGCCAACTTAAGCAGAACATTGCTAGATGGTAATCCCTACATCACACTCTAGAGAGCAGAATAAACTCTGTAAAAATAAATATTCTACCTAAAATCCTACAAACCATATTCCTAAAAAGTTGGGACACTAAACAAATTGTGAATAAAAACTGAATGCAATGATGTGGAGGTGCCAGCATCTAATATTTTATTCAGAATAGAACACAGATCAGAGATCAAAAGTTTAAACTGAGAGAATGTATCATTTTAAGGGAAAAATCTGTTGTTTCCAAATTTCATGGCGTCAACAAATAACAAAAAAGTTGGGACAAGTCCATTTTTACCACTGTGTGGCATCCCCCCTTCTTCTGACAACACTTAGACGTCTGGGGACAGAGGAGACCAGTTTCTCAAGTTTAGAAATAGGAATGTTCTCCCATTCATGTCTAATACAGGCCTCTAACTGTTCAATCATCTTGGGCTTTCTTTGTTGCACCTTCCTCTTTATGATGCGCCAAATGTTCTCTATAGGTGAAAGATCTGGACTGCAGGCTGGCCATTTCAGTACCCGGATCCTTCTCCTATGTAGCCATGATGTTGTGATTGCTGCAGAATGTGGTCTGGCATTATCGTGTTGAAAAATGCAGGGTCTTCCCTGAAAGAGATGACGTCTAGATGGGAGCATATGTTGTTCTAGAACCTGAACATGGTTCTCTGCATTAAGAGTCAGAGTCAGAGTTTCTTTATTGTCATTCGCACCTCATGTGGTACATGTGGTGGAGCGAAATTATGTACACAGGGTCCCAGTTACATCCAACAATAAAATGTATAAGAAAAACAGTAATAACATCTAAGATATGAACTAAGAAAAACATCAACTAAATATACACTAAGCACTCATAACATAAAACATTGAACATCACCACAAACATGAACATGAGTCTGTGAGCAGATGTGCACGCATGAACACATCAACATTGAAACAGATCAGCAGCAACATGAAACAGATCAGCAGCAACATGATATGGTTTTTCACAGTGATTATTCTAGTTAGAGATTCATGAGTCTAACAGCCTCAGGGTAGAAGCTGTTCCTCAGTCTAGTGGTTCTACACTTAATGCTCCTTAACCTCCTTCCTGAGGGGAGTGGGGCAAAAAGTGTGTGTGCTGGGTGGGTGGGGTCCTTCATGATGCAGGTGGCCCTCTTCCTGCATCTGGAGGTGTAGATGTCTGTGATGGTGGGGAGACTGACTCCAACAGATTTCTGTGCAGCCTTCACCACTCTCTGCAAAGCTTTTCTTTCTGCAGCTGTGCAGCCTCCATGCCACACATTGATGCTCGAGCACAGGATGCTCTCCACTGCACACCTGTAGAAGGAGGTGAGGACTGAGCTTCCCAGACCAGCTCGCCTCAGCCGTCTGAGGAAGTAGAGTCTCTGATGAGCTTTCTTGATCAGGCTGGTGGTGTTGTTGCTCCAGCTGAGGTTGTCATTCATGTGTACACCCAAGTACTTGTAGCTGGAGACCACTTCCACCGCAGATCCTCTTATGTTCAGGGGGGTGTAGGTGTTTTTGTTCCTTCTGAAGTCCACAATCATCTCCTTTGTCTTCTTCACATTGATGTGAAGGTTATTCTCTCTGCACCAGCTCTCCAGGTGTTCCACCTCCTGCCTGTAGCTGGACTCATCATTGTTTGTGATGCATCCCACCACCGCTGTATCATCTGCAAACTTTACAATGTGACAGCCTGGATGGGTAGCTGCACAATCATATGTGAGCAGAGTAAACAGGAGGGGGCTCAACACAATGGTGCCTTTCCAGACATGCAAGGTGCCCATGCCACAAGCGCTCATGCAACCCCATACCATCAGTGATGCAGGCTTCTGAACGGAGTGTTGATAACAACTTGGGCTATCCTTGTCCTCTCTAGTCCGGATGACATGGCGTCCCAGTGTTCCATAAAGAACTTCAAATCGTGACTCATCTGACCACAGAACAGTCTTCCATTTTGCCACACTCCATTTTAAATGACCCCTGGCCCAGTGCAAACGTCTGAGCTTGTGGAGCTTGCTTAGAAATGGCTTCCTCTTTGCACTGTAGAGTTTCAGCTGGCAACTGCGGATGGCATGGTGGATTGTGTTCACTGACAATGCTTTCTGGAAGTATTCTTGAGCCCATTCTGTTATTTCCTTGACAGTGGCATTCCTGTTTGAGGTGCAGTGACGTTTAAGGGCCCAGAGATCACGAGCATCCAGTAGAGTTTTACGGCCTTGACCCTTACGCACAGCGATTGTTCCAGATTCTCTGAATCTTTTGATGATGTTATGCATGGTTGATGATGATAACTTAAAAGTCTTTGCTATTTTATGCTGGGTAACACCATTCTGGTATTGCTGCACTATCTTTCTGCGCAAAAATGGTGGAATTGGTGATCCTCTTACCATCTTGGCTTCTGAGAGACACTGACACTCTGAGAAGCTCTTTTTATACCAATCATGTTGTCAATTGACCTAATTAGTGTTAATTGGTCTTCCAGCTGATCGTTATATGCTCAATTTCCTTTTTCCAGCCACTTATTGCTACTTGTCCCAACTTTTTTGGGATTTGTTGACACTGTGAAATTTTGAATCAACATATTTTTCCTTTAAAATGTTACATTTACTCAGTTTAAACTTTTGATCTGTCATCTATGTTATATTACAAATAAAATATTGTCATTTGCCATCTCCACATCATTTCATTCAGTTTTTATTCACAATTTGTTTAGTGTCCCAACTTTTTTGGAATCCAGTTTGTATACCTGTTTCAAAATCTGCCAATCTTCCTTACTAAATAATTCTTTACAAATCTGAAAAGCCAGATATCAGCGTTTATTTGGAATAAAAAGCATCCACGGATTGCCAAGAGGGTCTTACATCTGCCCCGTAGACTTTGAGGTAGAATTGCATTCGGGTCAAAAGAAAATCAGACCCAATCCGGCCCCAACCCGTAGCCATAATTTCCGAACCCCTCCCGATCTGATGAATTAACAGTATTTACAGGTCCAAACCCAAAACACCCCCCAGACATTTTTAATTAAGCTTTGACTGCTTATAGCTATATTTATTAATACTGGCGAACATGCGCGGCTGAATAAAGGGGACAGAAGATCAAAGCTGAGGAGCCGTCACAGCACATTAAATGCTTCCACTGCTTCTGCCTACATTGGACCCTGCTCTGGCATGTCGGATATTTTGTGGTCTCACCTGTTTGGGTTGTCGTCCACGTGCGTCCACTGACTGCAGCGGCTAAATGAACATACATTTGGGTGATGGATCGTTAACAGTAGTCCATCTGAAGCTTAATTTAACTTTTTACCTATTTCAAGGCTGGTCAGCGTGCGGTGAAATGGCAAGCCATGTTGCCATACGATTGGATTGTCAGCCACGCACGTCTGATGATGCAATCAAAAGCCCGACACCAACCTGACCCGCACATTAAGCACATTATTATGGACCGGCCCAGTCCAAATCCGGGCGGGGCCGTGCTCCGGGTTCGGGTTAGAAATGACAGCTCTACTTGGAGGCATGTTGCTTCCTAATTTTGTGCAGTTAATATCAGAGCTCTTCTATTTTGGTTGGGCAGGGACACCCCTCCTCCTAGTTGGGTGACCTTGGAAAAGGCCTCAATTAAATCCAGTTCCCCTTCTGCATTACTCTGTTCTCGGCTGCTCTTTAAACAATATCAACCTACACTTCTAACCCAATTGTGATCTGGGCGGTTAAGATCTGGAATCAGTTCAGGAGGGCATTTAACTCTACAGAGTTACTGTTTGTTGCACCTGTGTCAAATAATCATAGGCTTACTCCATCAGTATCTGATAAAGCTTTTGACACCTGGGTCTTGAGGGGGTGCATTCACTGTGTGATCTCTATGTTGATGGTAGATTAGCCTTTTTTGAACAGCTGGTACAGAATATCCTGATGCATGCTCAGTACAGAAGTTTCATATTCACAAGTCACAGTTTTTCAGATATTTGCAGCTGAGACTTTTTGTGAGGTCTAACTCTGATTGTTTTCCTTTGTATCCCTCTAAAAATTTTGTGGTTAAAATTATGGAATGCAGGTCTGATACCAAGGGGGGCCCTTAGTAAGATCTATACACTGTTCAGTTCATACCATGAGACCAGTCTGGACTCCCTTAAACTGAAATGGGAAACGATCCTGGAGGAACTTATATTAGACTCAATCTGGAGAAATATCATTAAGAACATTTATTCATCCTCAATCTGTCTTAGACACGCTGTAATTCAATTCAAGGTGGTGCACTGGCTGCACTGGTCCAAAGACAAGTTGTCCAAAATCAAAGCCAACCTGGACCCTGCATGTAATCATTGTTAAACTCCAGCTACTCTCCTGCATATATTCTGGACTTGTCCCAAACTGCAGACCTTTTGGCAATCTATTTTTGACACTTTCTCTGGAGTATGTGGAAAAACTGCACACCCATCACCACTTATCTCACTGTTTGGGTTGGTCCCTGTGTATATGTCCTTGAACAATTATGAGAAATATGTGATTGTCTTTGGCTTTCTTCTGGCCAAAACACTGGTTTTGTACAGTTGGAAGGACCCACATACCCTTCAGCATATGTTCATTGGATAATAGAAGTGATGCATCATATTCATTTGGAAAAAATCAAATATACCCTGAAGGATTCTGTTAAAATATTTTGGGACACATGGCAGCCTTTTGTGTTGTATGTGGAAAACTTGTCAGTGCCTGTATAATTGATTTTAATTCATTTATGCATGTGTGACTGATCCAGTGTGGGAGGGGTTCTTGTTTTCTGTTCTTTGTGTTTTGTATGTTCAAAATGAAAAAATAAATTAAAATTTAAAAAATTGATTAAAAAAAGAAAATTGTTATTTAACAGAGTTTATCTTTATTTTTTTTCTTAATCTAATCAAAGTGTTTGTTGCAGGTCCAGGTGTTCCGGCTGTGCTGCTTCTGGATCTGAGCGACATGAACAGTGAGGGTGAGTGGATTTTTATTCAGTTTGTGTGCGGCTGTTCCCAAAAGACAAATGAGTTGATGTTGTAGAAAAATAAGACTCGCTAATGAGACATCCGGATCAGGTGTAACAGGATTGTCTCATTTACATCTGTTCACATGCTGCCCTCTAAGACATACAAACTTCCAGTTAAGACAATACTGGTGGTGGAGTAGTGTCTTACGGAGGGCCTTTGCTCAAATCAGTACTCTGACAATCTGAGGCCAGACATACTACTGCTTGGATCTGTCACATCCCTAAGATATTCTGCTTGACATTTAATTTGTAATAAATGTTCAAACTCATCAAGGTGGGTTTTCCTGTCTACCTTATATTTTTGCAGCAGTTAGGCAGCATCGTTTGGTTCTGGTGGAAACATTAACATGAGTTAACCTTAACGTAGCGTAGATCTTTTTGTAGATTTTATGTGTTTTATGAAATTTCATTTATAAGTTCTTCAGTCTTTGTCAGTTTTGTTTTTTTAGGCCTGACAATAAAACAAACAAAAAAAAAACAGATTTTAGACACTAACATTTAGCTACAAGCTAATGCAGCAAGAATCCATCATAATGAGATACTGTAACCGTCATTTAAATTTATGATTTGGATAAAAAAGTTATAAAAATATTGCTTGTTCCTTCTTCAGTGTAAACATTTTTTGTTTTGACAAATATTGTATATTCTGTGTTTACGTCGGCATGAACCCACAGTTCACTGCTTGTGTAAGACAAAGTACATAACGGTACTTAAAATATTTCAACTCTAAATGTGGGGACAGTGACAGCATGATGCAGAGAAGGAAGGTAAATGTTTTATGTGTCCAAGAGATCAAGTGGAAGGGCAGCAAGTATTGCAGCATTGGGGCAGGGTTCAAACTGTTTTACCATTGTGTGGATAGAAAGAGAAATGGAGTAGGGGTGGTCCTGAAGGAGGAATTAGCAAAGAATGTAGTAGAGGTAAAAAGAGTGCCAGATAAGGTGATGCGTCTGTAGGTAGAAGTAGAAGGTCTGAAGCTAAACGTCAGTGGTTATGTTAAGTTGGATGTGGTGATAAGGAGAAAGATACATTTTGGAAGGATCTGGATGAAGTGATGGAGAGTATTCTCAGGGAGGAGAGAGTGGTGATGGGGGCAGACATGAATGGACATGTTGGTGAAGGAAACAGAGGATGAGGAAGTGATGGGTAGGTTTTGTGTCAAGGAAAGAAACCAAGAAGGACAGATGGTGGATTTCACCAAGAGAATGGAAATGGCTGTAATCAACACCTATTTCCAAAGGAGGGAAAAACATAGAGTGAAGAAACTTGACAGTGAGGACTGAAGAGAGGAGACTGGAATATAAGGAGAATGAACATAGAGCAAAGAGGGCGGTAGCTAAAGCAAAGCAGAAGGCATATGATGAGTTGTATGGAAGGCTGGACACTAAAGAGGGCGAGAAGGACTTGTACCAATTGGCAAGACAGAGGGATCAGGAACTTGGAGAGGTGGAGATATGCACTCAAGAGAAATGAAAGTCAGCTGTAGCAAAATTGAGTATTTGTGTGAATATTTTGGTGTCATTATCTGGTAGCCATAAGATGCATCACACTTGAAAACATTTCTTTTTCTTCAATCTGAGCTTCCTGCTTCCTTCTAATAAACACGGACTATCTTTAATTCTTATGTACTTGCAAATCAAGGGTAATGACACCAGGAAAATTTAGAGTAGTGCTTTTAGAATGCTCTGAATCCTCATGATGATAAAACCACCTTTAAGTGAACAACTGCCACGTCTGTCGTACACAAACATCTGCTCCGTCCTGAGTTTCCTCTGGTTTACAGCATATTTCATCCTGGAGAACAACCTCCACCTACAATCTGCGCTGAACTCCCGGAGGACGACTCTGACTGATGTTCGAATGATCACCAGTGACAACTTTGGTACAAATTTTCTGCATTAACAGCTGTGTTTGAGATAACTGAGCCGTTCAGAGGGAAAGTGATACACCTGTTCACCTGTCTGCTTGGCTGCTGTCCCAACATTCTTTTCTGTTCCCCTCAGAGCTGCCTCTGAAGCTCACTTTTCCTCCCGACTTCTCCGAGTCCTATCTCTATGGCCTCCTCCTCATCATGTAAGCCTTCATCACTTCATCATAATTACAGGTTTTTTTTGTCTATTATTTGACAATGAAAAAATATCACACCCACACAACCTGCAGGCCGTCACCATAACTATCCATAAAACACAAGAGGAACCTTTTTTTTTTTAGCTTGGTTGAATCTTTCAGAAGATGGGCAGAGGTTCACCTATAACACTGTATTATGCAACAACGTGAGCACCATCCAGAAACGTTGCCATCTTCCCTGGACTAAAGCTTGTTTAGAATGGACTGAGACAAAGTGGAAAACTGAAACCATGGATGCCACATCCCTAGTACAGGGATCATTCAGTTTGTTATCAGCACACAGTTCAAAAGCCTGCCTCTCTGATGGCACGGAGGTGCATTAGCACCTCTGGCATGGGCAGATTACACATCTGAAAAGGAACCATCAATGCAGAAAAGCAGAAGTACATACAGTAGTCCTTCGATACGTCACGGTTCGATTTTCGCGGACTCACTCTTTCGCAGGCTTTCAACATACGATTGTAGTACACAACACACGATTGGTGATGGGGAAAGACAGACCCCACCCTTCTCTTTCTGAGGCTGTCTGTCACAGCAGAGTAGTCTTTTGTGACAGACAGCCTCAGAAAGATAAAGGAAGGGGGTGGGGTGACAGCCTCAGAAAGAGAAAGAAGGGGTTGGGTGACAGACAGCCTCAGAAAGAGAAAGGAGGTGGTGGGTGACATACAGCCTCAAAAAGAGAAAGGAGGGGTCTGTCTTTCTCCATCACTACTGCTCAGGGAGCAGGGATGAACAGATCAGATGAACAAATGTAGAATATCAGAAAATGCTAGGTGGAAAAATAAGAGTGAATCGGTTTTCAACAAGAGATAGATTTGCTGAGCACTGCTCACCCAGGTATAAGACAGACCCCTCCCACCTCCTCCTTTCGCTTTCTGAGGCTGTCTGTCACAGCAGAGCAGACACACAACAGGCGGGTGCAAAACAGACAATCTCGAAAACAAGAAAGAGTGGGCAGGAGGTATCTGTCTTGTACCTGAGTGAGCCGCACAAGCGGCATGGATTGTTTATTTAAAATAATCAAGCGCGACTTGAACCGAGCCTTTAGTCCCTCTCAGCAATCACTGAGTGGGCCAGGCCACCGGGAAATGTCCCAGTGCTCCCGATGGCCAGTCAGCCGCACAGTAACTGTAGCATCAATCTGTCTGCTCTCTTTTACTGTGCTCTTTTAGAGCATTTAGAGAATTTAGAACATTGTAAAGAACATTTCAAGAGTGTGGGAAGGGTTTATAAAGCCATAACATAGATATAAATACTAAAGTAAATATAACCTCCCTACTTCGCAGATTTTCACCTATCGTGGGGGTGTCTGGAAAGTAACCCCCGCGATAAGTGAGGGACTACTATACTAGTTTTAGTACAACAAATGATCACATTCAGAAAAAATACGAGCCAGGACTGTTAAACATTTAAAATCCTCCATCAGACCCCGCCAAAAACTCCAACAACTGGTCTCTTCAGTTCCAGGTGTTTACAGACTGTTTCTAAAAGAAGAGTGGCTGCTTCACGGTGACAAACTTGGACTGAAACAATTTTTTTTAAGTTTTGTTTCCATCAAAGTCAAAAATTATGTTTGTTTGTTTTTTTTCCATGAAATGGCACAATTTTTTTCTTCCAGCCTTTGATGTTATGTTTCATTGTGAATAAAATATGGGTTTATAACATTTAAAAAATCATTTCACTCTGTTTTAATTTACATTTAACACAACTCAACATTTTCTGAGTTGGGATTTTGAAAGTTCAAACATAATGGTTCCTTTTTTAAAGAACAACAAGTAAAATATAATAATTTCCTGACAGTGGCAACGCTCTGGGGGGACAGACCATAACAGATGAGTTCAGCCTGGACTGGGACTCAGTTCTGGCCAGTTCGGAGCTGATCATCGTGGCTCGGCTCGACGGCAGGGGCTCTGGGTTCAGAGGTCAAAGGTGCAGAAACCTTCAACAGCAGATTGAAGGAAAAAAAGCAGATTATTGATCCTGATCGTGTTAATTTTGTCTATTCACAGAGTACTGGAGCAGATCCATCAGAGGCTCGGTTCTGTCGATGTAGACGACCAGATTGCAGCTCTTCAGTACGTAACGGTGAAATTTATCTTTATCTTCGTCCGTAATTGTCCTGCGTCGTTTTACCACAGAGTTCCACCAGGGTGTGCACTGACAAACAAAACCTGGAAACAATTTTGGGATTTGTAGGATGGAAATGAACAATGAGGCAAAAAGGAGGCCGGGTTTTGGCTAAGATTGCTGCAGAGAAATGAGCAGTTGTTGATGTAGGAATTAGCTTTGGCTCCAAAATCTGGGACGTTGGATAGTCTATCATTTTTGCCTTTTCACTGCCCCCACTGGTCTCCACCTTGTAGTATTTTTTTGTGCACAATGTGTAATTTTTTATCCCGATTTCCTGTTGCTATTTTCATTTCAGTTCAGTTTATTTATATAGCACCAAGTCACAACAGCAGTCTTGTCCAGGCACTGAACAGAAATATTCATATATAAAAATAATAATTTTACACTATATATCTGAGGAGCAGACTGCTTTGAGTTTAACTCCATCACAGAACTCTCATCTTGAGCAAGCATGAAGGCGACGGTGGAAAAGAAAAACTCCCTCATGAGGAAGAAACTTTTAGCAGAATCAGGCTCTGGACAAGCGGCCATCTGCTTCGATCAGCTGGGTTTGAGAGGAACAGATACACAATGGCAGGTCGAGAATCACATGTTAAGATAGAAAGAGTATCAAATGAAAACTATTCAATTTGAACAATTATGAGGTCAATTTGTCTTCTGTTTTGCCAAAGCCTATAGCAGCATAAAGCCAACCCTAACTACAGGATTTATCAAAAAGGAAAGTCTTAAACCCAGTCTTAAAACTGGACAATGTGTCAGCCTCATGGACAGAAACTGAAAGTTGGTTCCACCAGAGAGGAGCCTGATAACTGAAAGATCCCATTCTGCTTTTGGAAAATTTAGGAACTGCAAGTAAGCCTGCAGTCTGAGAGTGAAGTGCTCTGTTAGGAAAATATGGAACAATAAGATTTGTAATATAAGATGGAGCTAGGTTGTTGAGGGCTTTGTAGGTTAGAAGTAAGATTTTGAATTCAATTCTGGATTTGAAAGGGAGCCAATGGAGAGAAGCTAAAACTGGAGAGATATCATCTCTCCCACTAACTCCAGTTAAGACTCTGGCAGCAGCATTTTGGATCAACCGAAGACTTTTTAAAGAAGTATTTGGACACCCAGAAACCATTGCAATAGTCCAGTCTAGACGTGACTAGGCTTGTCACGATAACAAATGTTGCTGGGCGATTGTCTCAGAAATTATTGCGATAAATGATAAAATTGTTTGAAATTTGACAATAATTAGCAATTATTGTCAAATTTAAGAAGAAATGTTGGTTAATTTTTGCGTGTTGTACCTTTTTTGACCACTGGATGGCAGTAAAAGACTGTTTGAACCCAAGAATGGATAGTGAGGGAGCGAGCAGCGTGTCTCTAAGAAAAATGGGAGGGAGGCCCCTTGATGTGACATGGGCTGTCTCTCCTTTTTTTCGTTTTTCAAAATGTTTGAGGCTCAGTGTGGTTTGAGCTCTTTATCATAGCATTTTTCACACAAAACTTTTAATAAATTAAAAAAAAAAAATCAGTGAACAAGTTCTCAGCTTTTTTTTGCAGAGAAAAACAATATTTTACACAAAGGCACAGGTTTCAACCATGTATTTTGGAGCTTCAACAAGACGGAGGTTTTTTTCCCCGAGGTCGGCCTGTTAGCTTAGCTCGAAGCTTAGCTGCTTTTAACGATCCAAAAACGTGATTTGACGGTTAAAATGGATTTTAAAGAGAAAAGAAAAAGGGGTGGGTCAGTGAAGAGCACCGTAGTTGAGCCTTTTGTCATCCAGTGTCCAGTAGAAAGAGAGAGACACTAAGAAACGATAAAGCCGATAAATGAAAATGAGGTAGATAATTTTCGTTTATCATGCGATTAATTGATTTGTTTATTGTGACAGGCCTAGATGTGACAAATGCATGGACCAGTTTTTCTGCATCATTTTTAGATAAGATTTTTCTTATTTTAGCGATATTACGCAGGTGGAAGGAGGAGGTTCTAGTAATGTTTTTAATGTGGGGGATAAAAGACATGTCCTGATAAAAAATAACCAAGATTTTTAACATTAGAGCTGGAGGACAGATTAATGCCCTCCGAGGAGGACGAAAGACTGAAAAATTTATTCCTAATATGTTCAGATCCAAAAACTAAAACCTCAGTCTTCTCTGTATTCAAAAGTAGAAAATTGAGAGTCATCCAGATATTTATGTCTTTAAGACATGCTTGTAGTCTAAATAGCTGATTGGATTTGTTGGTTTTCATGGAGAAATATAACTGCGTATCATCAGCATAACAAAGAAAGTTTATCCCATGCTGTTTAATAACATTACCTAATGTTATCGTTGTATCTTGGTGCAATGATAATGACGTTTATTCTGCTTCTAATGGAAGCATATGCAAGGTAAAGAGTATTCGTCCAAGCACTGAACCCTGAGGAACTCCACGTTTACAAATTGAAATCCATCAGATAGATGACCTTTTTAGTCTCAGAACTACAACTTAATGTTTAATGTGAAATGAAATATCAAATATTACAGCTTTTATAACTCCTTTGTGTTGATTTCAGATACGTGCTGAAGCTGCCTTATGTCGACCACACTCGTGTCGGAGTTTATGGAGAGGTTAGTCCGTTGACTCAAAACACCTCAACATCCAGTTCATGCTTGCAGAAGGAGACATCTGATTCCTACACACAAAATCTTAAATATGAGGTTTCATTTTATCCAAATTTGTCAGTTTATTTAGATAAAACAGCTACAAAACGTGAACATTTGTTGCTGCACTTTTCAGTTTAAACAGCTAAATCTGAACCTGACCTATGGTAGTTTATTTTCTTTTCCTACAGTTTGAAGTAAAATGGTTATAACTTATTTTATACTTACAGTGCCTTACAAATGAGTTCCCTGAAGTTTCCACATTTTGTTACGTTACAACCACAAATTTTAGTATTTTATTGGGATTTTATGAGATAGATAATTGCAAATAAAAATTTGAGAAAGTCTCACGTACATTATTCTTTCCTGCAGCAGCCTCACATAAGCTCTTACCAAAACCATGAAAGGCAGACTAATTCAAATCAAAGATCTCACTTAAAAAGGTTAAAACTCAGTCCTGTAACACCACCACCCCCCACCCCCCGTCACTCTGGGGAGCTAACTGTGCGTCTCTGCAGGGTTACGGTGGATATCTGACCCTGATGATGCTGAAGTCCGAGAAGCTGATCAGGTGTGCAGCAGCTCAGGCTCCCGTCATCGACTGGACCATGTATGGTGAGCAAAAACACATTTATTACCTCTACTGCTGCACAAACTCTTCATTTCCTTCTTTGCAATTTTATCTTGTGATTTTTTTTTTTTCCACCTCGAATCAGGATTATGTGACTAATTACAATTTACTCTGCTTTAGGGAATTCAAAATTACCAAGTTTTAAAATGAAAAGTCCTCTATTAAAGGAGTGAATCCTCAGAGTTACTCAATAAGGATTTGTTGTATGTGATTATTGTTTGACTGACAGGCATTTGAACCTTTTTATAGTTAATAATATAGAGACCAACGTGTATTGGAAAAAAAAAAATGTTTTCTGTTTCAGCTTCAGCTTTTTCAGAAAGATACTTCGGCTCGACATCAGTTGAAGAGAACAGATACCAGGTGAGCTTCTTTTTTTATTCATCATCATTCTGAGATAATTTTTCCTTTTTTTCATATATATATATATATATATATATATTTATATACACACACACACACGCACTATATATATATATATATATATATATATATATATATATATATTGTATATACAGACCCTTTCCAAAAAATAAGAATATCATGGAAAAGTTGTTTAACTTCCATAATTCCATTCCAAAAGTTGATCTTTAATAGACGATAGATTCAGAGCCCACAATTTAAATGATTTCAAGTATTTGTTTATTTTTACAAACCGGATTCCAAAAAAGTCAGGACACTAAACAAATTGTGAATAAAAACTGAATGCAATGATGTGGAGATGGCAAATTTCAATATTTTATTTGTAATATAACATAGATGACAGATCAAAAGTTTAATCTGAGTAAATGTAACATTTTAAAGTAAAAATATATTGATTCAAAATTTCAGTGTCAACAAATCCCGGAAAAGTAGCAATAAGTGGCTGGAAAAAGGAAATTGAGCATGTAACGAACAGCTGGAAGACCAATTAACACTAATTAGGTCAATTGACACCATGATTGGGTATAAAGAGAGCTTCTCAGAGTGTCAGTGTCTCTCAGAAGCCAAGATGGTAAGAGGATCACCTATTCCACCATTGTTACGCAGAAAGATAGTGCAGCAATACCAGAATGGTGTTACCCAGCGTAAAATAGCAAAGACTTTTAAGTAATCATCATCAACCGTGCATAACATCATCAAAAGATTCAGAGAATCTGGAACAATCGCTGTGCGTAAGGGTCAAGGCCGTAAAACTCTACTGGATGCTCGTGATCTCCGGGCCCTTAAACGTCACTGCACCTCAAACAGGAATGCCACTGTCAAGGAAATAACAGATTGGGCTCAGGAATACTTTCAGAAAGCATTGTCAGTGAACACAATCCACCGTGCCATCCGCCGTTGCCAGCTGAAACTCTACAGTGCAAAGAGGAAGCCATTTCTAAGCAAACTCCACAAGCTCAGACGTTTGCACTGGGCCAGGGGTCATTTAAAATAGAGTGTGGCAAAATGGAAGACTGTTCTGTGGTCAGATGAGTCACGATTTGAAGCTCTTTATGGAACACTGGGACGCCATGTCATCCGGACCAGAGAGGACAAGGATAGCCCAAGTTGTTATCAACGCTCCGTTCAGAAGCCTGCATCACTGATGGTATGGGGTTGCATGAGCGCTTGTGGCATGGGCAGCTTGCATGTCTGGAAAGGCACCATTAATGCAGAGAACTATGGTCAGGTTCTAGAACAACATATGCTCCCATCTAGACGTCATCTCTTTCAGGGAAGACCCTGCATTTTTCAACACGATAATGCCAGACCACATTCTGCAGCAATCACAACATCATGGCTACGTAGGAGAAGGATCCGGGTACTGAAATGGCCAGCCTGCAGTCCAGATCTTTCACCTATAGAGAACATTTGGCGCATCATAAAGAGGAAGGTGTGACAAAGAAGGCCCAAGACGATTGAACAGTTAGAGGCCTGTATTAGACATGAATGGGAGAGCATTCCTATTTCTAAACTTGAGAAACTGGTCTCCTCTGTCCCCAGACGTCTGTTGAGTGTTGTAAGAAGAAGGGGGGATGCCACACAGTGGTAAAAATGGACTTGTCCCAACTTTTTTGGGATTTGTTGATGCCATGAAATTTGGAAACGACAGATTTTTCCCTTAAAATGATAAATTCTCTCAGTTCAAACTTTTGATCTGTGATTTATGTTCTATTCTGAATAAAATATTAGATGTTGGCACCTCCACATCATTGCATTCAGTTTTTATTCACAATTTGTTTAGTGTCCCAACTTTTTTGGAATACGGTTTGTACATAATTTGGGCTTCCAGCTCATGAAAACCCACGAAAACAGGATTTCAAAAAATCAGAATACTGTGAAGACATCAGCCCACACTACTCAGTTTTTGCAGAAAAAAAGAAAGAAATAAGCATCACAACAAATCAATCAAAATATGGTACTTTCAAAACGAGTTGATACAACGTGTAGGTTATTGAGTGTACATGTGACGAAGTATCTAGTTGATGAAGCATTTCATATAATGTACAGTTAAATAGTTGTTTAAAAAAAAAAATTATTTTGTGAAGACGAACTCAGTAAAATAGTAAAGCTGCTTCAATCTGAGCTTTAAGCATGAAAACTTGGTGTTTCTCCTCCTTAAGGTTACAGTTAGTGGTTTGTCTTCTAAGTGGGTTAGTAAGAACTGGGACACGCTGCACTATTTTTGTGACTTCGGCAGCCGGAGAGGTGTCTGCATCTTTGTTACGTGGCAACAGAGCAGGGTGTCAACACACAGCTTGTCCTCCGAGCCGCGGAGACAGTCGGGACATAAAACGTCCGGTTGACCGTCTGATTGGAGAGGTGTCACGTCTCTAAACTCACATGGGGGGAAATGAATGATGAGAATGACAGGTGGAGGATTTTTTTTTTTTTTAAATAACACCATCAGTGTAATGAGGACTTCTGGTGCCACAGATTGAACCTAAAGAGTTAGAGTGCTGTCTCCACAAACACAATACATTGAATAAACCTTTAATTTCTAAAAAATATCTGTTAGAATGTTTTATATCCTTCCTATACTGAAGGGTAAACAGTCATGTTGAACAACTACAGTTAAGACTGAAGAAGTAGGGATGCAGAGGGTGCTGCAGCACCCCTTGATGGAAGTCGGAGGCCACAGTAATACACAGTAATTAAGTAATTTTTGGAAAAAATTGCGACCACCCGGGCTCATTTCCACTCCAACTCATGACCCATCCATCCCACCTCAATCTGTAGCTCTATTTGACCATTTTGAACCCATCACTCTGTCTTCTCTAGAGCAGGTCATGTGCAGCTTGAAACTTTCTGGTTCCCCCTTTGATGTGGTTGCCCCTTGATTACTAAAGGAGGTTTTTCCTACTCTAGGTCCATCCATTTTTGCTATAGTAAACAGTAGTTTATCCACTGGCGTGGTGCCAAACATCTTTAAACATGCTGCTGTCCAGCCTCTCCTGAAAAAAACAAACCTTGACCCTTCAGTCGTGTCCAACTACCGGCCTGTCTCCAGACTCCTGTTTGTTTCTAAAATACTGGAGAAAACAGTTGAGTCCCAGTTGAAGTGCTTCCTGGAGGATCACGCCATCTTAGAGCTTTTCCAATCTGGCTTTAAACCTCTCCACAGCACTGAAACTGCCCTATTGAAGGTTTTTAATGACATCTTCAGATCCAGATACTGGTGATTCTGTGCTGCTTGTCCTGTTGGACCTCACAGCCGCCTTTGACACAATCGACCATGAGATCCTCATTGCTAGGTTGGAGCAGTGGGTGGGCGTCACAGGGTCAGCCCTCAATTGGTTCAGATCCTACCTCACTGACAGATCCTTTTGTGTCTCCATCAAGGATTTTAGTTCTGCAGCAACAGAGCTTAAATGGGGGGTTCCGCAGGGGTCCATCCTGGGTCCCCTCCTATTCTCTCTATACCTGCTGCCACTTGGTGCTATTTTCCGGAAACGCAACATACCATTTCACTTCTACGCCGACTGTCAGATTTACTTCCCCCTAAGACACAATGGTACATGCTCTATTCAACCTCTGCTCGACTGCCTGGCTGACATCAGGGACTGGATGGCTTTAAATTTCTTAAGTTTCAATGAAAAGAAGTCTGAAGTCATGTTAATCCCTTTAAATGACACAATCACAAACAACTGCATCAACCTTTCCACTCTAATCCTGTCAGAAAAACAGAGTCACTAATCTGGGAGTGATAATGGACCCTTCCCTGAAACTTAATCACATGATTTTTAAATCATGTTTCTTCCAACTGAGGCGGCTGTCTAAACTGAAGCTCATATTGTCCAAAAATAACCTGGAGACAGTAATACATGCATTCATTACATCTAGGCTTGATTACTGCAATTCACTCCTGTTTGGTATCAGTCAGACCTCCATTGCACGACTACAACTGGTCCAGAATGCAGCAGCCCGATTTTTAACCAGTACAGGCAAAAGAGAGCACATTCCACCAGTTTTGGCCTCACTGCACTGGCTACCGGTTCACTTTAGAATCCAGTTCAAAATACTCCTGTATGTCTACAAATTGCTGAACAGTTTCATGAGCCGTTGGACCGATTGGGTTGGCATCTACCACTGAAAGCCTTACCCCAATTTCAGATGACTGACACAGCCTTCTTGACTTTTGGAAGCATAAGTACCGTATTTTCCGCCGTACAAGTCTCTCCGGCATATAAGTCGCATCAGTCCAAATACGTCTAATAAAGTGGGGGAAAAAAACAAATAGGTCGCTTTGCCATATAAGTCGCATTTATTATCATCGGTGACTCCCGGAAAATGTGGGCTGGTGTTGTGCCAAAAACTGGTTTATAAATATGGGGATGGGGAAAACAAATATGTTGCTTCACCGCATAAGTCGCAGGCATGCTAATTTATGCAAAAGGGTGCAACTTTTACAGCAAAAAATATGGTACACAAGAAATTACACAAGATATAAAAATAAAGAAATACATAAATTGTTGTCCATTTTGTCTGAATTATTTATTGCCAGTTGTTACGCCTCCAGGTCTAGGGTATCAGGAGGTGCAACATAAAATGTGTCCAGAGAAAAAAAGATGGAGTTGATTGATTTTAAAAGGGGGGGTTTATTACAAAGAAAAAATGTTCCACAGACAAATACTCTGGCCCAACAAAATATACTAAAGTGGGTCAAATGCTGCTGCAACAATTGAATAACTAAAATAACCCAACAAGTCAGTCCAGTCTCAAAACAACCCAGACAAAAACATTAAAAAGGTTCATCAAAAACTTTCCAAGTACAAGTTGAAACAACCAGTCAAACTCACAACCAAAGTAGAGGCAGCTGTACAAAACTTCTGCCTAAAACTGCCCCATTGAAGGAATGATTCCAGGAGCCTTTTATAGGGTGCAGGTGGCCCTCATCATCATCTGATTGGTGTGGCAATCTCCTGCTGGTCCAATGGTGTTGCTGTTCTGCAGCCTCCTGGCAGCCAATCAGCTGAGTGTGCTCCCACACCTGAATCTGCATAAACAAAGAGAGAGACTACACAGACTCTAGAGGTCAGGGGTTGTAACACCAGTCATGTGACCTTCATTGTGTGAATATTTAGAAATTATTGTAACTTTTGAGATCCGATTTTCTTCCATACGTTTTTCAGCACGCAACTCATTCCAATTTCAAAACATTCGGCTCATTCAGAACATTCCTGCTTTGACTTTTTAGTATTTGTGTTTTTTTTGTTGTTGTTGTTTTATTTATTTATTTTTTACATATTTAGCTTTTTTAAATGCATCTTTCAAACACTGTGCTGTTTAAACCATTCACTGTTCATTTCAGCTTTAGATCTGGTTCAGCTTTTTTCAGCTTTTATGCTAATTTCAGCTTCCTTTTGCGCCTTTCAGCTTCTTTCTTCTCATTTCAGGAGGGTTTTTTTTTTTTAGACAATTTTCTGATCCTTTCAGCGTTTTTTCTGTTAATTTCAGCATTTTTGTTCATTTTTCTGTTTCATTTGGACAATTTCAGCTTTTTCTTTAGCCTTTTCAGCTACTTTTTTTAGCACTTTTTTTTTTAGCTCATTTCACTTTCTTTTTAGCTGCTTTTAGGAATTTTGTAATCTATTCAGCCTTTTTCTGTATATTTCAGCTTATTCGAATCATTTTTGCTACATTTCTTCAAGTTTGTTTTCCCACATTTCACCTGTTTTTCAGCTGTTTTCCACTTATTTTCCTGCTTTCAGCAAGTGTCACCTGCTCAAACTCAACGCAGTTCTGCAATGAAAACTTTTCAGCTTGATTTCAACTTCTTAATCAGCATTCAGCAAAACTCATTCAGCTGTTTGTTCCTACAAGCTAAAATTTCCCCATCAAAAAGAATCTAAACTTTTGAGAAAACAAAGTTTATTTGTTCTAGTATTTGCGTTTTAAAGTATCTACAGAATATATCTACAACATAATGAAAATAACTATAAAGTTTAGTTTTTTTATTTACCCTTTATTTCTACATGTAGTCTCATTGAGTCACGAGAGACCTGTTTTGGAGAGCAGATGGTGGGGGTTGAGGGCCTTGCTCAGGGGCCCAGAGTGGGGCGAATGAGGGTGGAGGCAGGTGTGGGTGTTTCACCTTTTCCATCCACATTTTGATGTTGACGGTACAGGGAGTTGAACCTGCGACTTTCCGATCACAGGCCTATCATCTCTAACCTCTGCGCCACCATTCCCCCAAAAAGTGATCTATCCGTCAAGTTTCAAAAGTTTATATATATTTTTTAATAGTACTAGGATTTTTATTGACATTTAAACATAGTTTAAATATTTCACTTACTTTGTCTCTCCAGGCATCCAAAGTGCTGCCCAATATGAGAGGCCTTGAAGGAGGACGTCTTTTCCTGGCCCACGGCACAGCCGACGGTACGTACCTCACCCTAAAACAAACAGCAAAGATCAATTTTATTCTTTCGTCGTCATGTTAATGTATTAAAATGTAAATGAGAGGAGAATAAAAGGCTGACAGTTTAGCCTCTCTTTGGTGTACAGTAGTCCCTCGATACTTCGCGGTTTGACTTTAACGCACTCACTCTTGTGCGGGTTTTCAATTGTACACAACACACAAATGGCGATAGGGAAAGACAGACCCCGCCTCCTCCTTTCTCTTTCTGAGGCTGTCTGTCACAGCAGAGGCGACGGGGAAAGACAGACCCCACACCCCGACCCCTCCTTTTTCTTTCTCTGCTATGACAGGCAACCTCAGAAAGAGAACGGAGGGAGCGGGGGGCTCTCTCTTTCCCCATCGCTACTAATCAGGGAGCAGGGATGAACAAGTCAGAGTCAGAGTTTCTTTATTGTCATTCGCACCTCATGTGGTACATGTGGTGGAGCAAAATTATGTACACAAGGTCCCAGTTACATCCAACAATAAAATGTCTAAGAAAAACAGTAATAACATCTAAGATATGAAGTAAGAAAAACATCAACTAAATATACACTAAGCACTCATAACATAAAACATTGAACATCAGCACAAACATGAACATGAGTCTGTGAGCGGATGAGCACGCATGAACACATCAACATTGAAAAAGATCAGCAGCAACATGAAACAGATCAGCAGCAACATGAAACAGATCAGCAGCAACATGATATGGTTTTTCACAGTGATTATTCTAGTTAGAGATTCATGAGTCTAACAGCCTCAGGGTAGAAGCTGTTCCTCAGTCTAGTGGTTCTACACTTAATGCTCCTTAACCTCCTTCCTGAGGGGAGTGGGGCAAAAAGTGTGTGCTGGGTGAGTGGGGTCCTTCATGATGCAGGTGGCCCTCTTCCTGCATCTGGAGGTGTAGATGTCTGTGATGGTGGGGAGGCTGATTCCGACAGACTTCTGTGCAGCCTTCACCACTCTCTGCAAAGCTTTTCTTTCTGCAGCTGTGCAGCCTCCATGCCACACATTGATGCTGGAGCACAGGATGCTCTCCACTGCACACCTGTAGAAGGAGGTGAGGACTGAGCTTCCCAGACCAGCTCGCCTCAGCCGTCTGAGGAAGTAGAGTCTCTGATGAGCTTTCTTGATCAGGCTGGTGGTGTTGTTGCTCCAGCTGAGGTTGTCATCCATGTGTACACCCAAGTACTTGTAGCTGGAGACCACTTCCACCGCAGATCCTCTTATGTTCAGGGGGGGTGTAGATGTTTTTGTTCCTTCTGAAGTCCACAATCATCTCCTTTATCTTCTTCACATTGATGTGAAAGTTATTCTCTTTACACCAGCTCTCCAGGTGTTCCACCTCACCATCAGATGAACAAATATAGAATATCGGAGAAAATGCTTAGGTGGAAAAATAAGAATGAATCAATTTGAAAAAAGAGCGAGTGGCTGAGTGCAGTTCCCCTAGATATAAGACAGCGCCACCCCCCCACCCCCCGCCCTTCTTTCTCTTTCCAAGGCTGTCTGTCACAGCCAAGAAAGAGAAAGGAGGGGGCGGGGTCTGTCTTTCCCCATCGTATCCCAGATACACACAACAGGCAGGCGAGCAACAGACAGCCTAGGAAAAAGAAAGGAGGGGGCGGGGCTCTGTCTTATACCTGAGTGAGTTGCACGAGCAGCATGGATTGTTTATTTAAAATAATCAAGTGCGAACATTGTTAAGAACATTTCAAGAGTTTGGGAAGGGTTTATAAAGCCTTAAAATTTATACAAATACCAAAATAAATATAACGATCCTACTTTGTGGATTTTCACGTATCACAGGGGTGTCTGGAACATAACCCCCGCGATACGTGAGGGACTACTGTAATGTTTTTTAAACCTGAGCTCGGAGTCTCAGGCATGAATTTAATCTCCCCGATGCCCATTTCTTCTTTTGTCCCTGCAGCGAACGTTCACTTCCAGCACTCAGCAGAACTCATCAAACACCTTATAAAGATCGCAGCTAACTACACTATGCAGGTAAGAAATGCTCTCTGAAAAGGTGCACGCCAGGATGCTTTTTAAAAAGACGCCAAATAAAGACAAGGCCTTACTCTGCGATTGATTTGAACCATTGAGCCTCGATGCTTCCTGCGTCGTTCATAAACAAATCCTAGAGAATCTACCAGCTTCAGTCAAACATAATCACCAACAGGAAGTTAATGGACCTTGATTTAGATGAATGTATGGATATTTTTGAGTTTGTAGACAGATTGAAACTTAAATATGTCTTCATTTATTGTGTAAATGTTTATGAAGCATTCACTTTATTGTGATCCATTTTTCTTCTGGACATTTTTCAGCATCTTTGTCTTTCCACAATTTTTGTGCTCTTTCAACAAATAAATCATAAATCAAAACATTCAGCTCTTTCAGGACAATCCTGCTGTGACTTTTGGTATTGGTGCAACTTTACCTTTTTGAAATATTTAGTCGTTTCTGCCACTTTTTTTCCTCATAGAAAATGAATTGAGCTCATTTTAGATCCTTCAAATCTTTAGATCTGTTTGTAACCGAAACTGCTCCTTTCACATTTTGTTCTGCTTCAGCTTCTTTCACCTAATTTCAGCTGTTTTATGCTCCTTTCAGATCTTTTCTGTTAACTGCAACATTTTTGTGCTTCTTCAAACGTCTTTCGGCTAATAGCTTGTTATGCTCTTTTCAGCTTTTTTCTGCTATTTCAGCTACTATTTAGCTTTTTTTTTGTGCTCATTTAAGTTTTTTCAGCTAATTCCACATTTGTTGGACTCATTTAAACTTTTTTCAGCCTAATTTAAATAAAATGTGCTCTCTCCACTTCCTTCTGGTGATTTAAGCTTCTTACTGCCTTTTTAGCTACTTTTCAGCTTTTTTTTTTTTCTCTAGATAATTTCCACTTTTTGTGCTAATTTCTGCTTCTTTCATGAAACGCATCTTTCTGCTTTCTTCTGCTAATTTAAGCTCGTTCCACTTTTTCAGCTACCTTTTTAGCATTCTAAGCTAATTTCAGCTATTTTCAGATTCATGCTTTTGACAGTCATTTCTGCTACTTTCAGACTAATTAACGTCTTTTTGCTAATTTCAGCTTGTTATGCTCCTTTCAGCTTAATTAAGCTAGTTTCAGCTATTTCTGCTATTTCAGCTACTATTTTGCTGCTTTTAATCTAATTTTTTAAATTTCAGCTAATTACACATTTTTTACCTAATTTCAGCTCTTTCCACTTCCTTCTGGTCGTTTACGCGTCTTTCTGCCTTTCAGCTACTTTTTCCAGGTTTTTTTTTTTTGTTTTGTTGCTAATTGCAGCTTTTTTTAGCTACTTTCCTAATTTTCTGCTAATTTCAGAAAATTTAAACCAATTGTGTGTGTCCAATGTGTGTTCTTTCTGCTTTCTTAGGCTTGTTCTTCAATTTCAGCATGTTTTTTAGCTAAGTTCAGCTTTTTTTCAGCAAGTTCTCCTGCAATAAGCATTCACACTGCATTTTTACAGGAAATGCAATTTCTCTAGTTACTATTATTTTGAGAATTTGACCATTTATCCGTTTTAGAAGTTTCAAAACGACCATGGAACAACTCATGTCAACTTAATTGCTCTAGTTTGCTCAGATTCTGATAAACAGAGGCATTCTGAGCGCATGGAGGAAATGTTCTGGGTGTCTGCCTCCTGTGCAAAAGTAGTCGTCAGCCTTGAGCGGAGAGATGGAACAAGAACCCCCTCAGGCTCAAGACAAACACTCGTTTTTTTATTTAAAGTTTTGTGCGTAAAATGTTTTGAGCGACCTTGTTGTTTGTGTTTTTCTCTACTCTCTCCGTGGAGCAGATCTACCCGGACGAAGGCCACTTCCTGTCAAGACGCAGCCGGATCCAGCTGACTCACGCTCTAATTGGATATTTCAGAGGATGTTTGTTCGACTCGTCGTCACTCGAGCAGCGGGACGAGTGAACGGTTATTTTTGTGTGTTTACGAGTACACCGGTAGACCAAGCGTGTGTGATTGTGTTGTTTTTTTTCCACTCGTAGCACAACATTTGATGGACAAAACAAGCTTCTTTGTGATGAATCCGACTGCTAGATTTAAGCTCTCACAGTTCAGCAGCTTGTCCGATGTCATTAGGCGGTCAGTTCCAGCCCCTGACTGGCACTATACATTCCTTGAAAAAAAAAACATGTTTCATATTTGTTTTATTTTGAAATTCTGTAAAATACAGTTAGTTTTTGCTTTATCATGAGCCAAACAAGTGTTTGCAGTTTCAGTAAAACAGTTCAGCTCTTTGGGAGTGGGGTTCTGTGGAATGCCATGAGCAATAACTATCTAACCTGTTTCAGAGAGTTTTTTAAACAAACTCAGTTTGTTGAAAATGTTTTATTTTGACCAAAATTACAGTTAGCTAACTGCTAGTCCTGATTGGGCCAAGACTAAAAAGGTTTGTTGTCTTAAAACAAGACCAATAGAGAAAAACTTCATAGCGGTTCATGCCAACGTTAGCTGTAGCACATTTGGTGCAACCTGGAGCATTTCCTGCAATTTCTGTTGGAATAACGAAGTAATATGAAATTAGTGGCGATGTAAAGGTTTTAATAATGAATTTGCATCACAGTGACTTTGAGACAGACATGAGCAACATATGGCCAGAGGACCAAAAGTGGCCCTTGGACAATCTCCACCGGGCTTCAATGTTCTTAATGGAAAACAAAACTTTTAAATAAGATGGTGAAAACCAGCATTTTATTAATGAAACTTAAGTTTAAATGTAGTATCTTGGAAAACACATTGAAAGTATTTGGATTAGGATAGGCTAAAACTTTTTTTTTTAAGTCATTGTGTTTCCAGAACTAGACTGACTTTAAAGTAGAGTTGCATTCGGGCCTAAAAAACCTGATCCGGCCTGGCCCGAACCCACTGCAACTTCTTCCACAACAAATGTCAGCAGAGTGTGGAGCGGGACACATGCGGCCGATGATCCGGTGATCCATTGAGAGCTTAACGGGACTTTTTTTTTAACCTCTTTCAACCGGCCAGTCAGCGGACACACGCAGGAGCAGCTGTGGCTGAGTGGTTAGTGCAGTCTTCCTCCACTGCAAGAGTTGGGGACTCGATTCCACCAGCAGTCACATGCCAAAGTGACCCTGGGCAAGACACTGAACCCTCGTTGCCTCCAATGTATCCCATCAGTGTATGAAAGTGATAAAGCACTGATCATTCTTTGTACAGAAATAGAGTGCTGTATGAATGGGTAAATGAGGGCACAGATTGTAGTGTAAAGTGCTTTGAACATCTTGATAAGATAGAAAAGCACTATACAAGTACAGTCCATTTACCGATGATCCAGTGATCCACCAAAGAGCTTAATAGGACTTTTTTTATTTTTTATTTTACCCTCTTTCAACTGGCCAGTCAGCGGATGCACGCGGCTGATGATCCAGTGATGCATCAGGAGCTTAACGGGACTTTTTTTTTTACCTCTTTCAACCGTCCAGTCGGACCTGAGCATGCACCCGACACACATTGGCAGGTTGCACTGTGCTGGCTTTTTAGAGTGAGTTCCCCCGTTTTTAGCTTTTCTTTTATACTTTCCAGCTCCATTATGTCGCTTGTTTTGAGTCAATTGCAAATCCTCAGATGTGTGATAAGAGGAGTAAAGCAGGGTGGGCGTGGCCACATGTGCAATTTCTGTGCAATGCTCCAGCGCTACCATCTCTTTTCACTGTCTGATTAACTGCTGCACTCTATTTCTTTCTCATCCCCAACATATAAACTTACTACCTCCTCCTCTACATGTAGATTAACACAATTTTATATTGTGCATTCTTCTTCTTCTTCTTATATATTTTTTTTGTGCTGTATGATTCATAAAACCGCACCAAAAGCTCGAGTCCAACCTGGCCCACCCATCAAGCACGTAATTTTGACTTGATCCGGCCCGAATTTCAAGTCGGGTCGGGCACAGGCTCAGGTCAGAAATCGCAACTCTACTTTAAAAACTCAAAATAGCTTACATTTAACTTTTTTTTTTTTTGCATATTTAGGCTAATAAATACATTGTAGCAAAAACTAGTTTACAGACAGTATTACTTATATTTATAAAACGTATTGGAGAAACATCCTCATCAAGCATGCTCCAAAAAGAAAAAAAAAAAAGACTGACAAAAGTATTCCAGATTATCAATCTTAAAGAAAATTTATCTTTCAATCATTTACATTTGTTTTAAATATCTTGATTTGGCCCTCTGGAAAAACAAAAGGTTCCCCATCCCCGACATAAGAAAATACCAGACGTCATATCTCACCTTCTTTTGTTTTTGAGATTTGAAGCAACAAAATCCTGTTTTACGAGGTCTGCCATTTTTGGAACCAGAGTCTGTGCAGTAGCGACGTTGGGCTTTAAGCCCCGCCTACTCCCCAGAAAACCGTCATATGCGAATGAATGAAATCTAATAAAACCAGTTTCATCTTGGGGGGGTGCTGCAGCACCCTCCGCCTTTATTTCAGAGATAAAACCTCAGTGTTATTTATTTTTATGGGGCTGTTTTGTTGTTCAGTCTTTAACAATAACGTGTATTTTTTATTAATAGTTTAGATGTTGGTACAGATTTTTTATTTTATCATTGTGTTTTTTTCAGGTATAATCTGATTTGTATTATCTTGAATTTTTTTTAATATGATCTTTTTTTTTATATAATAGTTGCGTTTTCATGGTTTTAACTCGCCTAGTGTCCCTTTAATGCCTTTCATGTCAGAAATCCTAACGTTGTTTTGTATTTGTGTATTTCCAGCTGCCTTCTTTTTTTTTTCCTCGTTAATACACCCAAGTTCAAGTGTGAGCCATAAAGCCGTGCAATAAAAGGCATCGTAAGTGTTATTGGCGTCACATCAGCCGAGTGCACTTCTCTCTATGATTACGGTCAAAGAAGGGCCATTAATCACGGGATGAGAGTCCTCAACAAGATGCACCCAGTTTCTGGAGATTGGTTTAAAACACGCGCACACACACCAGGAAATAAACAAAAACAAACAGTTCCATGAATCCATCATGGTGATAAATTCCCCCCCATGCATGGCAAGCAGGCGGTCGTCATGACAACAGCCTCAGCCGAGAAAAAAAAAAAAAAAACACCCGAGCCAAAGATGAAACGTGGAGCGATCGGCTGCTGATGCAACACCCTCAAAAGCCATCCATGTACCCGCTGGTCCCGAGGAGTTTGTTGCTTGTTGTTTTGCTTTTCGCCATTAAAAATTAAAGAAGGATTCTCGTTCAGGTTGTCGCTTTAATACGTCCTGCGCAGCTCACCGTGTTCTCGTGCTTCGCACCAATTAATTTCACCTTCTAATTAAAACTGCCTCCAGGGGTTTCCCCCCCCGCTTCATCATGACCACCTTTACAATATCTGCTACAATTAATTAACTGCTCCAGCTACTGCGGTTCTTTATCAGCACTTTTATGGCTTTAAAGCTGTAAAAACCATCAAACTGGGACATAATTTAAGCAGCTTGTTCCAAAGATTATTTCAATTCACTTGTTTTTTTTGTTTGTTTTTTACTTCACATTAGAAACAAATGTTGATATTTTAGTGATTTTTGTTTAAAATGTTAGTAACTTAGGTGCACAAATCAATTCATCTTCATTCAGAAAGAAAACAATTTGTACAAGATAGCATAAATGTTACTATAATTCAAAGCTATCTTTTAAATTAAAACTAATGGTATTCCTTTAGCAAAACATAGCTACTAAAATGTATATTTAACAAGATATTATGGGGTTTTTTTGGGTGTAAAAGAACAAAAAGATGTAGATTGTTACTCACATGGAGCAGCTGAAGCTCTTTGAACTTCTTCTTTTTGCAGCCAGCTGAGGACTGTTAACGCCTTAACCGTGAACCAATCAGCTTTCAGGAAACAAATACAGGAAGTAACCACCACCAGAACACTAAAACTGCAGGACAGAGCTGTTTAAAACAAAAATCACGAGTCTTTTAATATTACTGATGTGCAAAGTAAAAGTTTAGCACTTTGCTATATTCAAAATGTTTGCTAGCTTGTCTTTGCTTGATTAATATAATCAATCAAAATGTGTATATATATAT